ATATGCCTGGCTCTGTTTGAGTGGTAGTCTGTGGGTGCTATGGCCTTGTTTGAGTGTTTTCTGTGCATTCTGTGGCCCTGTTTGCGTGATAGACTGTGGCTGCTGTGGCCCTGTTTGAGTGATATAGTCTGTGGCCCTGTTTGAGTGATATAGTCTGTGGTCCTGTTTGAGTGGTATTCTTTGGGTGCCATGGCCCTGTTTGAGTGGTTTCTGTGCATTCTGTGACCCTGTTTGAGTGGTGGTCTGTGGCCCTGTTTGCATGGTATTCTGCCCTTGTCATGCCTCTTCTTCCCTTCATGTTCCTTTTTCCACATTTTCTGTGGAAAGGGGATAGGAACAGTAACACTATGCAGAAGAGAAACAAATAACAATTTCTTGTAGTGTTTAGTTTGTGATGCACAATTCTCTAGGCCTTTGACATGAAAAAAGGAAAAATAAAGAAAAAGCTTCCCACAAGTTTGGGAAAGGGAGGGAAGCCTTGGAAGAAGTAGGCAGGCTCTTTCCAGATTTGAAACCTATACATAGATTCAGATCTGTCACCTACATATAGATTCAGATCTGCAGACCCATGTAGAGGATTGGCAGCAGGCAGGGTGCAAGGCAGGGTATAAGGCAGGTTGCAGGCGGGTGGCCCCTTGGCCAAATCCTGTTGACATGTTTTGCTTGGCTTGAGTCATATTTGAAAAACATTCAAATTAGTTTAAAACATAGACATTTTCATGATAAAAACTCCATTTTCCAGCCTTCCTTGAAGAATTGGGATCAGGGTGCTGGTGGTTGGTGTCGGGGTGCTGGTGGGTTGATGGCTGCCTCTGTGAAAAGACCTGGCTCCTAGGTCATGGCCCCTCCAGCATGGGACAGGGGCCCTGGGGTGTGCCGCTGTACCTAGCCTAGAAAGTTCTGGACTTGGACTTGGACCTGGGAGACTGAGGCTGGTGCTTCCTGGTCTCTCCCCTTCACCTGCGCCTGGCGGCCATGTGTGAGAGAGCACATCTTCAACAAGAGGCCCAGGGTACCTGTAAAAGATCAGATTCCCAGTGACATAGGGACATGGGGACCCTTGGTCAAGTGGGCATTTGGGAAGTGGTGCTTAGTAGCAATTGTGAACATGGAATCTCTCTGCTGCCTTCTAAGGTAGAATAAACCATTCCTTTCTTTTAAAAAAATTACAATATGTTTTAAAAATGTGTTTTTAAAAATTATTATTATTTTACAAGATCCATGAAGTCTACGTGGTGCTTTATAGGGCATATCTGGCTACAGCTGGTGTACTTCTGGGTGTTTTATGGCAAATTATTCTCAGATTACCCTTTAATGCAAGAAGGTCTGCCTGTTGTCTGAGCTCCCTGGGTCATATGGAAACCCCTCTGACTTGATGCAAAACAGCTGCCTTAGTCAGCTGTTCCAAAAAAGGAGCATTTTCAGGCTGAAGCAGCAGGAAAAGTTTTGAAATGTTGAATTACTCTTTCCTTGCCATTAAAATGTGATTTAATTTTGATGCTAACAAATTGTGTAAATCTAAAGCGAAGTACTCAGAATGGAGTTTGTTAAGTGTGTTCTGGCATTACTTACAGTATGCCCTGGGGGGACATTCCCCAGGGAGGACAGCACAAAATTTCACTGACCTCCATGTTCCAGGACCTCAGCCTGGCTGAGGGTCAGGGGCCAACCCATGGGCCTCCCCCATTTCTCTTCTGGGTCCCTGCTGAGATAAGCAACAAAGGAGTCAATTGTCTGAGGCCTCCTTTTGTCTGAAGGGCTCCATGAGCCTCTCTGAATGCCAAAGTGTATCCATGTGCATGGATGAGCACATATGTATGAGTGTGCATGTGTGCATATATGCTGATACACACGTGTGTGCATGTGTGTGTGCATATGCATACATGTATGCACATGTGAATAGACATGCACACAAGCACTGAAAGACTGCATGTGTGCATGTGCATGTCTGAATGTGGACAAGTAAACGTGTATGTGCCTGCATGTGTGCACACGTGTGAATGTGTGTTTGTGTGTGCATGTGTGTGCACACACACAGGCAGTGGTGAGGCTTAAAGAGTTTTTGAGTTGCAGATACATGAGAGCAGGTGAGGGGCCTTAGAGAGGATTGACCAGATGATGGAGGTTCCTAAGAGAGAGGAGGAAAACATCTCATCTCTCAGGAGATCACACAGTTGCCCTTACCTGGCATTTGCTATGGCACAAAAAGCCTAGAGATACTCCTACCTCCCCTGCTTTCTCTGTAGGAATGAGGAAGAGCAGGCATATGGAAGCTTCTTACACAGTTCATTTGCCTCATTGGTCTGTTGCAACCTGAGGTTTCAAGGAAAGACCCACAAGAACTTTTTTTTAAATTGCATTTTAGGTTTTGGGGTACATGTGAAGGACATGCAAGATAGTTGCATAGGTACACACATGGCAGTGTGATTTGCTGCCTTCCTCCCCTTCACCTATATCTGGCATTTTTCCCCATGCTATCTCTCCCCAACTCCCCACCCCGCACTGTCCCTCCCCTATTTCCCTCCAACAGACCCCAGTGTGCAGTGCTCCCCTCCCTGTGTCCATGTGTTCTCATTATTCAACACCCGCCTATGAGTGAGAACATGCGGTGTTTGACCACAAGAACTTTTCTACACTGTTCCAGCCTTTGTTCAGGCCTTCCTCATTGGACCCAGTGCATTCTATGTGATATTTCAGCCATGTTTCCAGAATGACTGTGAAATACTCTGTTCCCATCCATCCTGGCAGTGGTTCCCTTGTAGCATGAGGGTTTTTCCCCTTCCCCAGTTGTCCTGTGCCCTTGCAGGGCCTATTCATTCAGACGCCTGCCGGGAGCCCTGACTGCTCTGTCGTTTGGTTTGAGCCATTCCTGTCCACTGGAGTTTCCTTGATTCACACCTTTTTCCTTAACAAGCTGTCCTTTTAAGAATGACAATAAAACGTATTTTATTCAGAAGCCAGAAAAGACTCATAAAAACGCCTCATTGAAATTCATCTTTGTGAAAGATTCATCTTGCAGCCCCCTTTAACCAGCACAGCTGTCACTAGCAACTTTTTCTGTTTTTTTCTTCTTGTGCTTCCCACCCCATTTCCTCTCCCTACTCCAGCAAGGGCTTATCTTTCAACTGTGGAGAAGCCACCAATTAAACTGTACTCCAAAGCTTATCAAAATATCCAGTCAGTAAAATTATCTTATAATTAGCCTCACTGTAAGCCAGAACGTTTTAATCCCAGGAAACGTAAAGTTATCCGGCATGTGAAATCTGTAAATTGCTCATCCTGACCTTCTGGCTACAGTTTCTGCTTTTCTTTCTTTCCCAAAGTAATTTCTTCCTTGTTCTTTAAATTCTTGATTGTCTCTGAGGCATCTTCTTCTTCTGTTTGCTTAAGTTTCAAAGAAAACTTACTCCTAGTTGAGATAGAGAATTGAAAAATTCAGGTGAATCAACCTGATTTTATATATTTCATGTCTTCACGTTTAGCTGTTCTTTTTGCAGACAGGAGCCTCTGATTGCTGATGGCTCGTCCTTGTTGGTCTCGTACTTTGGATGCCTGCAGTGATATGCATGGCTGAATTTTTCTGGAGCCCAGCTATTCAAACAGTGTCTGGGGGTTCTGCAGGGTGTCGCGCTGGGCAGGGGTGTTGGACTTTTTTATTTCAACCATTTCTCTTCTCATAGCTCTCCCTCTCCATTCACCCTCCCACTGCCAGGGGACCCTTCTGTCATCTTGCACCACCTGGGACGCACCATGAATGTTATGTCCCCACCCCAATCCTATTCAGACCAGCATCAAGGGAACCATAAGTGATGTTTGGGGATCTTAAGGTGGAACTTAGACTCCGGCTACAGAAATGATATTCAGATGATCTTTAGGTTCTTAACTATTGTTAGCTTCTTAAACTAGTCTTGCTGTAGGTATGAGTGGGATAATGAGATTTACACAGGCATGTTTGACCGTTCATCGCTTGTTGCATAACAAAATATTTTTGAAGTTCCCAAAACTCATTGAAAAAATAAATGTTGGAATGTACTAAATTTTGATAAATGGAGTATTGCCTGCATATAGTGTTACTAGTGGTAGTTATTATTTACAGAGTTTTTCCTATCTGTCACACAGTAGTCACACACATACATACACCAAGATATAAACACACAAATATATAAAAATTGCTTCATCCTTACATTAATTCTGTGAGAAAGCAGTTATTTTGCCCATTTTACAGTTGGGAAAATTGAGGCTCCCACAGTTTCAATAACTTGCTGATGCAACTGAATTTGACTGGCTGGCCTGACTCTTGCTACCCCTTCTGTGAACTATCCCATGTCATGTGATTTGACCCCCACCTATGCTTGAGAGGTTTCCGCATCCCCCCCACAGAGTAAAGAGGAAATCACAGTTCACCTCAACCTCCACTTGTTGCTGTGCCCAACAACTGAGTGCACTGTATCTTGATGTCACATGTGAATTTCAGGCTCAATTTATTTGCTGACCTCAGAGCTGAGGCTTGCTGGCCTTGAGCTTACAGGATCAGTGTGAAGGCTGTGATGATCCTGTAGGGAGACTCTGGTCCAGGTGGCCTGGGCTCCACTTGGTGCTCCTAGGGTAGGAGATAGAGAAGGGACCAGCTCCCAGGACCCCACCATGTGTGGCTGTGTTCCCCTAATACCACCCTTGGAATCGCCACATGCTCCAATTCCATCTTTTTGTGACTGTGTCTCGGAGGAAGAAGACCCATATTTAGGAAGGCGTTTCTATTGAGAGACACCTCCTGTCTAATCCACAAGTAAATATTTTACGCCTCTTTAAGTCTCTTTAAAAATACAGATTTTCTTTAGGAACTAAGTTGAAACTAAATATGTCATAAAATATGTTGATTTTGAAGCATTAACTGTAGGAAATTTTAGGAAATCTTTAAAACATAATCATGCCAATTTAATTTTCTTGTGAATTCTGCATATTCTTGACATTACTTCGTTTTTCTCTCTTTTTAATTACAGCTTGGGTTGACGATAGCCATTCGCTACAGTCACAGGTAAATGTTTACCTTTTTGTGTCTTTTAAGAATTATCCTTATTAGTTTCTAGCTCTTGGTTTGCTTAAGTCTCAGGTTTTGAGCTTTTTTTTGGTGGCTGCTTCCCTGTGATGTCAGTGTCACAGATGGAATTGTTCTAGTTGCTTGATTGGCAACAGCATATTGCTATTTAGAGGAATGAGGTCTTGTGAAAACGTGGTGGTAGATAGCACACTTCTTTTCTTTTCTTTTTTTTTTTTTTTAAAAAGGGATATTCTAGGTCATGACACAGAAGCACTATCTGGGTAATGTTCTCACTCTTAAAAGAGTGAGACACCCTTAGTGTGTCCCTGAAAACAGGAACACCCTGCACAAGAGGTGAGTCCCGGCAGAGAAACCCAGCAAGAGTTTGTCTGTGCAGCCCTAGACACCCACTCCATGCTGGGCCTCTCTCTCTGTGTCTTAGGATGCCTGACAATGGCAAAAAGCCCTATTTTTGTCTTGCTTCATGATTTCCACCTTGGTCTCAACTGTATGACACTGATGAAAAATGTTTGTTTTTTGTGACGGTATCAACCTTTTCCCGTTTGCATGTGTCAAAATGCATTGAGATGTTAAAGTAAGATCCAGCCCTAGCAGAGGGGTGATAAGCAGGGTCCTTCCTGTCCCTACAAAAACTGTGCTCGCAGCCTCCCGAAGTGCCACTCTCTGGTCATAGGCTTTGGGCTTGGGGAGGTCTACTCAGCTGCCCGCAAACAACCCAGAGTCATCTAATTTCAAAACAAGTTTTCCTCCTAAAAATGCTCATAACGAGGGTATGCATGGTTTCAATATACATGTGAATTGGGCAATTGTAAGCAATCCCTGAGACCTTGGAAGCTGCAGGGGAGCCATGTAGATTGCAGCAGGAAGAGGGCAGGAGAGTTCTCAGCCCTTAGAATGAGACTGTGGGAAGAAAGGTGCTTTTGTGGGACATTTCTGGAGACTTGTGAAAGAAACTGCTCCAGAGAGGCTCAAGGTCATGGAAGGCAAAGACATATATTTTCCTGGCCCATTGCTAGGTACATGGCTGAGTCCCCATAGAAAAGTCAGATTAACTAGAGAAAGCATGCAAATTTATTTAATGTAAGTTCTACATAACATGGGAGCTCTCACAAGGAACTAAAAACCCAAAGTAACAGAGGAACCTGTATGTTTTTAATGTTAGTTTGATGGAGAAGTGGACAGTTGTGGAGATGGATAATTGGACAAAGAGGGTATGATCTAATGGTGATAAACTGGGCGGGAGATTGAGGACTTGACAAATTTAGCCTGTTTGTTCAGATTCTTCTCTGTGGTCCTGTGTCTTCAGAGATAAGTATTTCTCTGGATATATGGAGGCTACGTCTCGAATGAGTTTTATGGCTTGTATCAGGGGAGGAGGGGAAGGGGAAGGTGAGAGTGACCTTCCTGCTTCTGCTGTTTTCTCAAATGTCAAGGTGCTGTTTTCTCAAATGCTGAGGTGCCCTATCAATTGCTTGTATGTTTCCAGTTCTATGCATGCATGATGCATGTCCATGACAAAAGTGTGGCATCCTGCAGAAGGGTGTTTTTCCCTTGTAAGCCCAGCTAGGCTCCTGCAGCTGCTGAGGCACACAGCTACAGCACACTTAGGAGGAAGTATGGTACGCACACAGACCTCTAACCCTAAAGCCAACTGTGTGTGGTATAGTGGGGTACCGTGTGTGTGAAGTGCTCTCTCCAGAACTTGGAGGAGCCTGTTTTTCTGGAATGTTCTCAAGGTAGACTGCTCCAGAAATAAGACAGCTAAGATCTTGCTCTGGTTCAGAGACAAACATGCTCTTCCCCATGATGTCTCACTATGTTGCAAGGGCTGGTTTTGAGCTCCTAGACTCAAGTAATCCTCTTGTCTCAGCCTCCCAAATTGCTGGGATTACAGGAGTGAGCCACCATGCCTGGCCAATGGAGGCTTCTGAGAGGAAATAAGTCTTAAACCATCCCTGTTCCTCTAAAGTGTGAAAGTGGCAGGAAGCCCAGCTGACTCGGAGATGCCCCTGATAGGCTGATAACAAAGGTCTCTCAGAACACATAGTCTTTTAATTGCTGTCTGGCATTGCTGTGGAGGAGAGGGAGAGTTTGGGGAGAGCATGGAGGTGTGGGGTGGATCCTGGCTGCTTCAGATTGCTTCTGTAGTCCTACTAGTTCAACCTTGACCCCAAACTTAGAACCTACTTCTCAAACAAGCCCTGCAGAGAATTGGACGGAATGCAAGGAGGAAGTTAGCAGCTTATCCGTTGTACATGAGCTTGCCTCTTCAGGCTCCAGCCCCAACCTTCTGTGCTCTCCTCTCAACAGGAGATATCCTAACACATGTGGCTTCCCTGCTGTGTTTCCAGGGTTGTTTGTCTCCAGGCTGTCTTTACCACCTTTAAGGTGTCAAGTGCAGAGCACTTAACAAATATTATGGATAGTTATGTAAGTGCCACAAAAAGCAAGCAAAAATCTCAGTAAGTGGGGGAAGTGACAACTGAAAGTGATGATATTGAGGAGAAGGAAAGTGAAGACATCTGTGGAGGCTCCCTTGCAAGTTCCAAGGTCCTTCACTATCTCCCTTGGGGTCTGGGGACCAGGGAGTAGGTGGTGGCCCAGTGAAGCCAGTATTCACAAAAGGCTGCCCTCAGCGAGTGGTGTCATCTGTAGAGGAGTCTGAAGACTTTGGGAGCACAAAGACTGATTAGACAGTGATTGCAGTAACTCAGAGACAGCATGAGGACTTTCTAGGCTTGGCTGTGCCTCTCACAAAATGTGAATGTCAGACGATTCACACAAGCCAAACTGAGGAGAGTTACTGAGGAGCATGTGATCCGCTTGAGGACTGACATCTTCAGTACTGTGGAAATGGAGAAGGGATGATCAAAGGGTTGTGTTTTCTAAAAATTATTTCTGAAACATAAGGAATTCTGATTTTAAAATTCTGGAAGTACAACAGCATTTGTAAATTTGTGGTGGGACAAACCGACCTTCTGGGAAATCCCCATTTTCCCAGAATTGAAGACACTTCATGAGGCGTCACTGAAGAGCCGTTTGCAGGTCAGGCCTCTTCTTCCCCATGGGCACAGGAGGAATTGACCTTTCCTCTTAGAAGCCTGCAGGTCACCGTGGCTCTTCTTTTTTTTTTTTAGAGACAGAGTCTTGCTCTGTCATCCAGGCTGGAATGTAGTAGCGTGATCTCAGTTCACTGCAACCTCTGCCAACTGGGTTCAAGCGATTCTCATACCTCAGCCTCCTGAGTAGCTGGGATTACAGGCACCCACCACCATGCCTGGTTAATTTTTGTACTTTTAGTAGAGACAGGGTTTTACCATGTTAGCCAGTCTGGTCTCGAACTCCTGACCTCAAGGGATCCACCTGCCTCGGCCTCCCAAAGTGCTGGGATTACAGACATGAGGCACCATGCCCGGCCACTGTGACTCTTTTGCTCCTTCTTATACCTGGCCTTTCCACCTACCTCTCCCCTCATCCAGGAGGAGGGAGATGAGGGATGTAGCTTTCTGGTTGAGTTCCCTCTTTAAAAATCCTATTTGCTTGTTTGGACTGGCTGAAACTTCTATCCTTTTGTTGATTACTTTTTATGTGTGTTGTGAAATTTGCCTAACATAAAATTAGCCATTTGTTTTAGTCTGTTTGTGCTGCTATTACAAAATACCATAGACTGGGTACTGTATAAAGAACAGAAATTTATTTTTTCACAGTCCTGGAGTCTGGGAGGGCCAAGACGAAGGTGCCAGCAGATTCAGTCGTCTGGTGAGGGCCTGTTCCATGCTTCCAAGATGGTGCCTTATTGCTGCAGCCAAGGGAAGGGAGGAGGGCTGTGTTCTCACGTGTCAGAAGGGAGAAGTGCAGAGGGGAAGGGTTCATGAAGCCTCTTTATAAGTGTCTTCATCTCATTCATGAGAGAGGGAGCCCGCATGCCTAATCACATTTTAAAGGCCCCACCTCTTAATACCGTCACGTTGGCCATTAAGTTTCAACACCTGAATTTTTGAGGGAACACATGCAAACCCTAGCACCATTTTAACAATTTCGAAGTGTATAGTTTAGTGGCATTAAGTACATTCTCACTGTTGTGCAATCAGCATCACTGTCTATCTCCAGAACTTTTTCAGCATTGCAAACTGTAACTCCATACCCATTAATTAAACAAGAAATTCCCTTCCCTAACCCCTCTCCAATTCCTGAAAGCCACCATTTTACTTCTTGTCTCTATAAGCTGGACTATTCTAGGGACTTTATATTAGTGGAATAATATAGTATTCATCTTTTTGTGCCTACCTTGTTTTACTTTGCATAATTCTTCAAGATTCATGCATATTGTAGAATATACTGGAAGTTTATTTCTTTCTAAGGCTGAATAATATTCCATAGCATGTATAGGCCACATTTGGTTTATTCATTCATCCAGCAGTGGACACTTGGAATGCTCCCACCTCTTTGTCATTGTGAATAATGCTGTATGAATTTGGATATACAAATATCTCTTTGACACCCTGCTTTCAGTTATTTTGGGTACATGCCCAGAAGTGGAATTCCCAAATCACAGGGTAATTCTAAGTTTCAGTTTTTGAGGAGTGGCCATACTGTTTTCCTATCGATTATCATTTCCCTTGTCATGTTGACCCAGAACTCAGATGCCAGAGTTGAGGTCTTTCTAGGTCTTCTTTGTATGGGCAGGGATACCCTTGGCATCAAGATTTGGGACTTTATATTCTAATGACCAGATCTGCTTCCAAAATTCTAACTAAAGTATCAGGACCAAGAGAGATGGTGGAGAAAACCCCAGCAGACTCCTTTAGAAGATGGGAAAGGGGATGAAGGAAAGCAGGACAGGAAAACGTGGTTCCAAAACGACAGTATTGGAAAGATGGGTTTACTCTTGAAGAAGAACGGATTTTGGGGTCTTAAAGGAGATGAATGTGGGGAGGAGGGAAAGAGGTCACTACAATTCTATAACCTTGGCCAGC